TATATTAGTTTCACCTTTTAAGTCGCATTACTGAAATAAATGAACTTTTGCATGATATTCTAATTTTTCGAGTTTCACCTGTACATACACCCCAAAATATAAGATTAGGAACTGGTAACACTTTATATGTGTATGAAGTGGTATTCATGGGCTGTTAACAGATCTGTTTTAACGTTGTCACGAGGCTTTCTACTACAGAAAGAGAGATGCTTGGAATGTTACATTATGCAAATCTAAGTGACAATTGCCATCATGCAATTTCAAAGGGGACGGTGTCATTTATGCGAGTTCAATATCTCATTCCACCTCAGACATACGACGTGTTGCAAAGAACATTCTAGGAAACTCACCTGCTCGTACTCCTCGATATTGAGGGGTTGCAAACATATCCCACTGTGAAACTATGATGGCTGCAATGCCCAGGACGCAGATGACAATCAGATAGATGAAACAGGGCTGAGGGTTGCAGTAAAAAGAATAGTAAAGCCACGGGACGAAACTGCCCATAATGAGAAGAGCAATCCCAGAATAGTCCAGCCTAAAACAAAGGAAGGGGAGGGGGGGAAATGTCATTTGTAGAGAACTCCACATCCTCTAACATCCTTGCCTGCTCCTTGATCACGCACCTTTCATGGTGCTGACGCACTTAATTTTATAAGCAGTAAGAACCACGCCTGATCTCATTTGTAATATAATTACATTCTGAAAATAAATTCTGGATACTGGTAAAAGTATAGGAAAGAACAATTCTGGAGATCTGTATTCACCTGGCTTGTAAACTTGAAACGTAAGACATATATAGTGCATGGCTCACTGAAACAAAACTTTTGCAAACCTTCCCAAACAGGAAAACTGTCTCAGCTTGTGAAGGTTCCCTTATTTCCCATCTAGCCCTAAGAAATTCAGTACAGGTAGTCTTCGAGATGTGATCATAATGGAGCTTGCCCATTACAGCTGCATGTAATTTGGCAGTTCAAATCTCACCAGGCTCAAGGTTGGCTCAGCCTTCCGTCCTTCCGAGGTGGGTAAAATGAGGAGCCAGATTGTTGGGGGGGCAATAGGCTGACTCTATAAACCGCTTAGAGAGGGCTGTAAAGCACTATGAAGTGGTATATAAGTCTAAGTGCTATTGCTATTGCAGGACTCCCTATGTACACACAATGCACTACCATTTTTTCAAAAACGTTTATGTACATTGACCCACCAATCCATGTTGCCCGTATGTCAAATCAGGCAAACTAAGGAGTTTTAAGCTCATGGTTGATTCATTCAAATGCTTACTTGGAGAAGAGCCTGGAAACGCCTTCCGAGTGGCAGTAAACTGTGTGAAAAAGCCATGAGAAGGAAAGGCAAAGGATGGCTCCCAAGAAGAACACTCCAACCACCACCTTCTCCTGAACGGGTGCTACAAAGGACATATTTGGCCGGAACATGTAGAAGATCCCCAAACACAGAAAGAACACACATCCTACACAAAGGAAGACATGGGTGTTAGAAGACAGGCAAAGGGGGCATAACCACAAAATATTGCCTCTAAATCATCCACTTTATGGCTGTGCATATTCCAGCTAATGGTTGATCTACTTTCCGTTGGCTTCTTTTCTGACAAGAGGCAAAGGTTTGCTAACATTCCCCAATACGTTCCTAACTGCTCCTTCCAGATTTTCAAGTCTATCCTACTAGAATTTCTGGCTCTCCCACACTAATACCTGATTACAGTCCTCCCTTCTTATTTCAGGGTTACTCTTGCTGCATGAAACATTTTAGCAGGATTATGAAGTCCCAACAAAACAAGGGATCAAAGCCAGAGCTGGGTCCAGCTTAGTATAATTACGCACACTAGAAGTGGCATTGACACACACATATGATCAGTGAGCCACTAAGGCTTGGGGCAGATGTACTTTGACTCAAGCAGAACCTGCCAAGTAAAACAGCTGCAATTTACATACTTTTAAAAATGTCAGCAAAACAAGTTTGGTTCCAGATCAGTGCTACATTCTGACTGCAATGGCACTTCAAGGTAATTGCTAGCTTAACATTAGTCCCAATGGTAAAGGAAGCAAAGGTAATTAAGGGACTTTCAAAGGCAACCCAGAGAGTTGCAAAGGATAATGTTGGTCTCCATCACTGCAACTCAGAGAGCCCATGTCAAAGCCTGGAGCCAGAAATCCTGATTCAGCAGCTTTAATGAATGCAAGACATCTCCCAAGGGAAACAAACTCAGCTGATGCAATGGGACAATACTGATAGTTAAAGAAAGAAACCACCTTTAGTTTGACATTGTAACTCAAGCTTGTTAAAGGAGCCCTATAATGCCCAGGTTGGATGGTTATCGCAGAAAAAGGTAGGGTGATCTTAATTAAAATTGAGTACCACCATTCATATGCATCTAGTACATTGATGGCTAACCTTTTTGTCGTCACGTGCCAAAAGCACTCATAATGCAATGCGTGTGCAACACACCCTGCGCCCCCGCCCTCTGCGCATGT